GCTTAGGTCATTTTTTGTCCGCAAGCATGCCAGAGCGGCGAGACAGGAAGGGTTATTGTATTTGAATATCATTCTGATCAGGTCTAAGGATCGGTGGCTGGTCTTGTCGAGGAAAGACTTGGAAGGCGATGGAATAGCAACAATTTAGGGTCATTCAGGAAGCTCTCTGATTTTCAGGAAAAGAGAAGGGCAGGACAGAGTATAAGCGACTTGCGGTCTTGATATCCGTACCAACTCAACGATGAGGACAGATAATGGAAAGTCCTCTAATTCCAATTTGCAGACTTATTCTCATATCCAACGTGCGATGCTAAGCCTCCATGACGCATAATAATGACATCCCGAAAACAGCAAACCTACTCATTGAAAGGAACAAGACTAACCAGGAAACCCATATTCCACTGCATCGCGGTTCATCCTTGCAACAATGACCAGCAGCCTTGAACAATATTCATACAAGCGAATGGAAGCCTTTCAGTTCCACTTGACACCCAAGAACTTGAACTCCTTGTTGCCACCCTTCTTAGCAGCCGCCACTTCTGCCTCCTTATTCTCCAAGTAAATTCTCTGATGTCCCCTCACATCCACGTAAAAAGTCTGGTACTCATGCTCCCAGTGACCCGGTTGCTTGGTCAGATGCAGCCCGACGACACCAGAACCTCTTGGTCCTTCGACCTGTTTCTCTCAAGTGTTAGCCCCATCATCGTAACCATTTCTTGATAAACCAGAGAAAAATTAAAAAAAAAAAAAAAAAAAAGAAGAAGTGAAACGAACATGGAAATGCATCTTCAAATGCTCCACACCCCTGCTATCCTTCTCGACCGTTGCCGCGATCGGCCGCGCCCGGCGCCACTTGTTGTGCGTCTCTTCGCCGTGAGCAGCAATCTTCTTTGGGTCACCGGGCGAAAGAAGGGCGACGCAGCGAGGGTCGGCACGGATCCGGTCAACGGCTCGGTTGAAGTAGGCGGTTTTGGACTCTGGGGAGAACACGTCGGTGAAGAGTAGATAGGCGATTCCTCCCTGTGTGGTAAAGTTAGTATCAAACACACACTAGAGTGAGCGATGAATTGGGGGAAAAAGCGTACGGTCAAAACTACACCCAAAATCACCAGACCAAAGTTGAACGTTTGCTGGACGGCGCGCCCGGCTTTTTCACCGGTGGAGAGCCGAGTCCAGGGCACATGGCCATCATCATTGAAGGGCGTTACGGATCTCCTCTTGGAACTTTCTTGCGCAGTCGCATATTGCCGGCGCGATGAGACGAGAATGACGCTAGCTGCTGTCGGAGGAGCTCTCGAAGCTGTGGTAATGGTTGCTTGTTGACGGACCACGGCGGGGCTCAGAAGAAGCCTCACACCAGCCGAAGTACCTGTGAGCATTTTCATCATGGAGGCTTCAACACAACACCCATATTTCAACGGCAATATCTCAGCCGTTTGCGATTGTCATGAGAGCTTCAATGAGAGAGGTCCGAACGAAACTGTGAGGAGCTGCGGTTGGATGAAGCTTTGGAACCGTTTGCCGGCACGGCATCTTTCCCGGCAGAGGAGGTCCGTCCGGCGAGGGGTGGAGTCCGTATTGCGCTCCACTAGGTACCTAGAGACGGGAGGGGACTGTGTGCCAAGGCGCCAAGAAGCCACATGGAAGGGCGAACCTGAGCAAGCGTCTGACTCTTGGCTGGGGAACACAAAGAAATGTGGCCCCCCCCTGCCCTGGGTGAGTCTGACAACGTTCCAGTGGAAGTTCCAGTACCATAGTGTACATACCGGTAGGTTGCCAGGCAGCCCGGCTCTCTCCGCTGGGGCTCCCCGTCTCCTGAATCAACTGCGGGCGAATGACAACACTTGAAAGATTGACAACTTGTAACAAGCCCGAAAACCTACAGCGCCGCCTTGTTTAACTTCCACTTCCCTTCTGCCCCCTTTTTTCACCTTTCCCCCTGACGGCAGCACCTACCGACCCTGACAACCTAACCGAGCAAAAGGGTCATCAACAACGACAGTCGAGATCTAGTGCCTGACACAGCACAACCCTGGCAAAGGACAGACATACCTCTCCGAGCGATCACCGGACTCCCGACCGACAAGATGAGCGGTCTCGCGACAAAGCAGCAGTCGCTCAAGCTGTTTGAGAAGCTCAAGGCGAAGCCAGCCAACAAGGTATGCGCCCACGTGAGCAACGATCGATCCTAGACATCCAGAAAGCTAACTGCTGCCTCTCTCCCGCCAACAACAGATCTGCTTCGACTGCGGCCAAAAGAACCCAACATGGACCTCGGTGCCCTTTGGCATCTACCTCTGCCTCGATTGCTCGGCCAACCACCGCAACCTCGGCGTTCACATTTCCTTTGTGCGGTCTACTAACCTCGACCGTATGTGTCCTCTCGATCTTTACTTCACGACGCGACACCTCGCCCGCTAACGCGAACCTTGTTCTTGTACAGAATGGCAATGGGACCAGCTACGGATCATGAAGGTGGGCGGCAATGAGTCGGCAACCAAGTTCTTCCAGCAAAACGGTGGTTCCGCCGCCTTGAACAGCAAGGACCCCAAGACCAAGTACCAATCTGCTGCCGCGACCAAGTACAAGGAGGAGCTCAAGAAGAGGGCTGCTAGGGACGCCCGCGAGTATGCAATACCCCTACCCCTCAGTTACACAAACCCGTTTTTTTACACGTTACATGAGACGGAATGCTGACGCGCTGTCTGCCTCCCACCCAGATACCCCGAAGAAGTCGTCATCACCGACGGTGACGACGCCACAGGCAGCAACACCCCGGCCGGCGAGCCTGACGACGACTTCTTTTCCTCGTGGGACAAGCCCGCCATCAAGAAGCCCACGCCACCTATTTCTCGCACTTCTACACCACCCGTCATCGGCCGCACCGCCTCCCCGCTCCTCGGCAACGGCAAGGACATCCAGCGCACTTCCTCGCCGCTCTCCAAGACCGATTCCGATGCTCCCACTCCCGCCCCCGCCGCCAGCCGCATCACTACCTCCGCGGCCCTAAGGAAAACTACCCCCGGCAGCAGCACCACCGGCGGCCCGCGCAAGGTGGGCGGCGGCATCCTAGGCGCCAAGAAGCCCGCGGCTAAGCTGGGCGTCAAGAAGATCTCGGCGGACCTGATCGATTTCGACGAGGCGGAGAAGAAGGCCAAGGAGGAGGCGGAGCGCATCGAGAAGCTGGGTTACGATCCCGAGGCGGAGGAGGAGAAGGCGGCGAAGAAGGCCGAGACCAAGACCAACAATATCATCACCCCTGCTGCGGCGCCAGTCAGCTCCTCCAGTTCGAGGTCCGCGGCGCAGGAGAAGTCGGCTGCTGAGGTGGAGAGGCTGGGTATGGGTGTCAGGAAGCTAGGTTTCGGTATGGTGGGCAAGCCCGGTGGTGCCGGTGCTGTGGGCGCGGGAGGAGCGGCGGCGGCGAAGAAGAATGCGGGTGGGTTTGGAAGTGTTGGGCCTATTAAGGCTAGTGAGGGTATGTTCTCCTTCCCCTTTTCTTCTTTGGCCCTCTTTATACCTCCTGCTAATATGACGAAACAACACAGCCGACGAAGAACAATACGCCCGCAACAAGTTCGCCAACCAAAAGGCCATCTCTTCGGACGAGTTTTTCAACAAGGGCAACTACGACCCCTCGGTCAAGGCCGAGACCAAGGCCCGTCTACAAGGCTTCGAGGGTGCCCAGGCCATCTCTTCCAATGCCTACTTTGGCCGTCCCGAGGAGGATGCGCCCGCCGAAGACTACGGCGACCTCGAGTCTGCCGCCAAGGACTTCATTCGCAAGTTTGGTATCACTGCCAGCGATGATCTGGAGAACCTTACGCAGATGGTGGGCGAGGGTGCCGGGAGGTTGCAGGGTGCTATCAGGGCTTATCTTGGGAGCTGAGCGGTGGAAATGGAAGAATGAGGCAGCAGTGTGGGTGGGCAGGACGTGATGGGCGAAGGGAGTTACCTAGTCATGAGACAGAAGATAAGATGAGACGAGCGGGTAAGGCTTTTTTAGTAAAAATCAGTATTTGTAGTGTAATGGTGAATGAACGTTTTATGGTAGAGAGCACTAGCAGTCTGGGCAGATGGTGCGATTTTCTGGTATCTAACGAGGAGGATGACGGCCAGGATCTGGATGAGCTGTCCTCACACCCGGAGTGGGATCTCAGTAAGTGTCCACGGGAAGTATTCGAGCAATAAGAAAGAGACATGGTATTCTATAGCGTACTGTTTCTCGATTCCGGTGGCATTTGAGGTTGGTGGGGAGAGATCGTGATGTTGACGGGTTTCAGCGAGATTTTGCTGATAACTGACTCGCGCAACCAAAATTGAAAGATACTGATATAAGGCCCACTTCTAGCAAAATTCTACCAATAACAACAGCTGGTCCGATGGTGTAGTTGGTTATCACGTCAGTCTAACACACTGAAGGTCCCCAGATCGAGCCTGGGTCGGATCATGAAGCTATTCCTTTTTTTTGCCTGTTTGTTTGTTTATCTTTGTCCCTTATGTTCTCGGATCATCCCCCCCCCCTCCTTTTTTTTTTTTCTTCTTTACTTTTCCTTTTTTTCTTTTTTCCCTTTTTTCTATGCCAGCCCCGCAGTGGTCTTTTTTTGGGCCTTGCTGTGCATTAGTCTGTCCTCGTCTTGGTAGGTTCTCGCCAATATGGACCCTTGCAAGACCGAGTGTTGTTACCATGCAAGTGGTGGAGATATCCATAGGGAAGGCATCATGGAGACCTTAGGGTTTTGCTTAGACCGAGCTGAAGTAAGGTGTTCCATATTTTTGGCTCTGATATGGGCGGTATTGCCTGGAGATGGGACTGGAATGACGGACTGCGGCATGGACCTTTTCATCAAGGTGTACGATCTCACTCGGACAGATGTTAGCGTTGGGGATTAATGTTAAATACAAAGACACGAACGTCAGATGCTAGGTATGTTGAGCTCGGTTTGTCCTCCTCATAGCTTCCTTCTGTTTCACCCTCTTATCTCCACAAGACTTCCTTGTGATCACGACCTCTCCCATGAGACAAATCCGTCATAAACATGCTGCAATTCCATCACTACGTTCTCATAAACCGCCTTGATCAGTTTTGCGTCTTCTAAGCTTTGCGTGTCCAAGCCAAAGTTGCCGTGAACACATCGATGAGTGATGCTGTGTAGTCTCGGTCCACCGTCGTCCCCAACCATCCGTTGCCAGGTTGCTGCGGCGTTGAACTTGGTGAACTCTGTTTCCTTGCCATTGCGGCCAAAGTTGGCTTGCCACGAAGGCTGAGATTCGAGAGGCTGGCCGAACCAGAGTTCGAGGATCAAGACGCCGAGGCTGAGCAAGATATTTCCATGGTCATGAGGTCTCGATGTATGTGACGTTGATTCTGCCGCAGACTCTCTGCCTTCTTGGCTCTGCGCGTTGCTGGTGCGCGTGCTGTCGTTCCTGGAAATCAGGAAAGGCACTTCAGTGTTGACGCTCCCGTCTGGGCTGACAGAGAAGTAGATGTCGTTCTTGTCCCAGTCCCCTGGGAACCAAGGACTTGGGAATAGCTCAAGAAGCGAGTGAGCAACCATTAGAGCAATATTCAGCCTTGCAGCTTTAGAAGGAAAACGGGTGGCCATGGCTACAGCGGTAGTCGGATCAATTATTTCAGAAGTGCTTCCTGCAAGTATGTGTCCTAGGCTCACGGCTTGACCCACTACCTATTTCCGGGCTGGATGTCCCCGTGGGTACGACCACCAAGGCGTGATATGAGTTGGTGCTGTCGAAGAGATAGCCAAGCTGGCTAGTTGTTCGTTGGAAGTTGAGCATGGAGCACCAGTCATGAATGACGTGGGTGCTTTCGGGAGCCAGTGTCAGGGGCTCGTGGTGATGCGGACTCTCTGCTGATGACAAAACTATGGTCGGCTGTGGTTGACATAGCATAGTAGAAGAGTTGCCATTACTGGTTGCTTTCCTGCTCTGCTGACAGGTTGGAAGGTTGAGCGGACAGCATTTGGATTGATGAATTCTCCGCAGATGGAAGCTGACTCCAGAGTGGAACGCGGAGTTGGGACTTTCAAGAGGCACTGCCTCCATTATAATTTCAAAATAGAAATCTAAAGGTCCCAAGCGTCGTTTTGCATCTTAGAGCTGGAGATATCCTTGCCCCTTTTCCTTACCTAGTCAACGGCTGCCGTGTAGTTAAGTGTATTCGTTGAATCAGCGGCCGCGGAACTCCCTTGCATCACGGCTCGGGCCTGGGCCTGGCAACGGGTTTGGAGGCAGTTACTACCTAGAGCTACCTAGTTTATAACCCGTGTAAGAAACTGCTTTTCAGCAACTGCCACTGCAATCCGGTCATCAACAGCAGCGAGGTGTCCGACTGGCGCGACCGACCAAAAATCCCCGACTTCGCGTCCCGATCCCCGAGTCCGCAACCTTTCGTTTATTTCGAGCTCGATGGACACCGACAGATTGATCAAGGTAAGGCGCCTAGAGCTTAAGCTTTGTAAATAGAGCTGTAAGCGCAGGTACATCAGGCAACCGCGCTTGTAGTGAAGTGGGTGGCGGTGCTCATCTCAAACCTGCTTGCCCACCCTCCCCAAAAACTACATTGAACGAAAGCAACTCCTGTCGGGAGGAGAATTGCCTGGCTATATGAGGTCAAGAACTTGTGATGAAAGATCACATACGACCATACCCACTGGAAAACTCGGGATCCCGTCCGCTCTCCCATAGATAAGCCAGTGAGGGCTAGACTAGTAGTTGGGTCGGTGACGACCAGCGAATCCCTGGTGTTGTATGTTCTTTTTTCCCCCCCTTATCCCTTCTTTTTCCACGGGTATCTGCGCGCATGCAAGAGACCACTTCACTTGGTTACCAAGCTTACCCCTATGTTCGCTTTTCTTGTCCCAAATATCTCCCGTCCTTGCTCTAGTCCATGAACAAACAATTTTTGTGACAACTGCCATGTTTTTCGAGATCACCCCTTTTTGGCTGGGTGAATAATTGGTTCCTATACATCTGGTAGTTTGCGATATGATACACAATTCGCGCGGCAATCACTGAACTTGTAGGGTTTTCTGGAGTCCGTGCTCTGGCAATAATTGAATGTGTGTGCGAGAGTATCTTCAAGTTGGTTTGTACGGACCATTATGTGTCTGGTTTCTTTCTCCGATCGCTCGGCCCGAATGCTTCCTTTCTTTATTCGCTGGCCTGGCTTGTCATCGTTACCCTATCTTCAAACAGAGCGGGAGACAGCTGGCGGCGCGGAAAAGTAGTCATGGGAACATCGTTGGACGGCGACGTTTGGTTTACTTTTTATATGGAATTTAATCTTTCGGTAATGGCTGTTCGGGAAGTATTCAAGTCTATATTATGTCTGCCTCGGCATTCGCTGTTGTTTCTCCTTTGTTTCCCTCCCGGCAATCTGCGTTTCCAAAGTCCCAAAGTCAAGTGTCTTAATGTGAGCGATATCTATTGCTCGTAATGTTTGTTTGATGGTAAGCGATGTGGCCATCCCAAGTCAATACAATAGAACAACAAGATTAAAATCTCGCTGGAGATCATGAATACCGGCATGTTCGCTTCTTCCAACATTCACCACCCATCCGTCTCTGCAAGCATCAACTCCAACGAACGCACATATCCCCTCCTTCAACTACTTAATTTCATTAGCCACCAGACGCCACCGTATTCTTTCAGGGCTCGCGAGGGACTAGGACACCTCTTCATCAAGGTCCATGGGTGATCCGCCGCTATCCGAGGCATTGGCGGCATCTATGTGCATAACTTCATCCCCAGATTGGCTCTGAGTTTCCACATCCTCAGTGTCCAGTTCCTTCTCCTCCACTGTGATTTGAGACAGCGGTTTAATCTCTGTGTTCTCTTTCAAATATTCACCATTGGAGGCAGGAACTGCCACTGTCGAGGACCTCCTCGAAGAAGAAGAACTTTTCAGGTAGACTGATGGAGGAGAGAGAGGAATTCCGTCGGGATCCACATTCTCAGCTGTTTGTGCTACTTTGTCTTTCCAGGGCTCAACCGTTTCGAGGGCAGCAGGCTCCCTCCACACCCTGGCGTAGGGATCATTGGTGGGATCCGGGGGCGATTCGGGGACGGCCGTGGCGTATCGGGGAATAAGGGGTTTCTGGTAATCGGAAGTGAGAGCGGCTGAGTTGGCGGGACCAAAGGGCATGACCTCGCTTCCTGAGGTGTGATATTCCCGATTTGATACTGGTTTGGTCATTATGTCCCATATCACGTCGCTATTGGCAAAGGTGTACCAATGCATGGCATCCGGACTGCGAACTAAATACGGCGTTGTACAGCGTTAGCGTCTTCCAATGAAGCATTATTTCTGCAAGGACAGCGAAAGGAAAACCTATGTTGCTTGGAAGGTAAAACGGACTCTGACCGTGTTCGCTCTGGCTGTAGTACAGTGACAGAAGCTCTTTCATTCCGTAGCCCAACGCGCTTCTGTCACTGCACTACTCCCGGAACGAACACGGCCTTTGTCAAATCTCGACAGCCGCCAAAGAATTTATGTTGAGCAAAGTATGTAGGCTTACCCAGGTCGAGAGCGCAATTCGTTGTTAGGATGGGCGAGTTTCGGCCTCCGTCCTCAAAACCTGGTCTGGCGCCACGTGCAGCAAGCGTGAACATTTTACCGCAGACCTGCAGGAACAATCCACACCCTTGTTGTCCTTTATACCATAAGTCGACTTGAAAGAAATGTTGGAGCCCAGGCTCCCCGCCCATGTTTGCGGAACCCGGTTGTTCCAACATCTTCTTCGTCCAAACTGCTGCCAGCCTCTTCGTTCCTGATGGTCCCGTATGCTGCTCAATTAACTTAACATTCCCCAAGCAATTGTCCCTCCTTTTTCCCTCGGTGTTATACGCATAATTCACGTTTCCCGATGTGTGGGCCGAAGAGTAAGGTTCATCGTCGCCGTCGACGCGGAGCCCGAGGTCGCACAAGAAGTGTGTAGGAAAGAGGTAATAGGGGACGTCGAAAAGCATGAGGATGGTGGGGCCATTTTGGTGGCTGTAGTCCTACTCCTTCAGCTCACGCTTTGGGTAACACCCGAATTGAACTGTCCTGCCGACCTCCACGGCGTCAAATGGAGGGGTAAACTTCAATTTGTTGACAATGGTTTTCCGCGGCTTTATATACATGTCGACCACACGTTTGGGGACATCATATCGAGGCTGAGATGCCGAAGGCGTGGGAGATAACACACCCGGCTCCGTGTCTTGAGCCTTGAGAGAGGGCAGATCCGGAGGCGATGACATGGTTGATGGTAAACTAGATCTCGGAAGCTCCACGCTGGGTGTTGCTGCTGCGGCTCGTGTCGAAAGATTGGCAAATGAATGATTGTATGATGTTCATGGGTGAGTGAAGTGATGGTCAATGCGGGTTTACTGACCATCAAAAAGGGATACTGGAGAGACGATGTGGCTGCGGTTCGACGGGCAAGGTAAAGGAAAAGTAAGGACGAGAACGCAAAGCAACTGAAGGGAAATACTGGTAGACAACATGAAAGGTATCAGGAAGGAACGGGATTATATGAATTGATCTATAATTCTTTCTGCTATAGTTTGACTGGAAACAAAGTTCTGAGGGAGGAACGAAAGGAAGGGGGGAAATGAAGAAGAGAGGAACTACCTGAAGGGCTTTCAGTTGCAGGGTCGCACACACGCTTCGAAAAGGCAATCCCAAAAAGAGTACGGAGAAAAAAAAGACATACAACACCAGGGATTCGCTGGTCGTCACCGACCCAACTACTAGTCTGGCCCTCATTGGCTTATCTATGGGAGAGCGGACGGGATCCCGAGTTTTCCAGTGGGTATGGTCGTATGTGATTTTTTCTTTTTGGTTCTTCGCTTACAAAGGAATGTTACGGAGGAGATGGGGGGAGTTAGAAGCGAACTATCGCCAAGTCATCTAGGGGATGTAGAGGTGGGAAGTAAGGGAGATGGATGGATGATGGACACTCGGGGATAGTTGCACCTGTGGAACATGTTACTTCCCGCCACTACTGCTGTCAGTATTGAATTGAACTTTGTTCGCGCATACATGTCGGGTATCATAAGTTTTCAGCAAGGCGGTCTTACCTGTTTGGGTTGTAGAATCCAATATACTTTTGCTACCTGCCCTGCAAGGCCGGCAGCGACAAGGCACCAGTCTCAAGGGGAAGGCGATAATGCGTTGTGTTCATTGGCGTTGACTGTGTCTCCGTGGCCCCGTTGTAGCGTGATACGTTCCTTGGTGTTTACGCCCCACGACCCTCGATCTCCGTCATCAGCTGCACAATCATGATCGCCTCGTCCCGAGTCCGTTGTAAGAGCTCGGTCTGCTCTGAAATCCATGCCAATCTTTTCTTCCAAAAAGCCCACCTCTCTCGCGTCAGCCATTCATGTTGGTCGACTTTCTTCTCTGCCTTCCACAAGGATCTTTCGGAACGGTTTGTACTGAATCGCTGCCAAAACTCCCTTGTGTTGTGCACATGGTTTTCTTGATCTGCCTCTGCGAACCTCCGCGCTATCATCTCTCTGTCGGTATATCGGTACATTATATCTCCTGCTATCACCAAGAATGGGACCAAGGCGTGAACGTCGGTGTTAAGCGTGGCAATAGTATAGTCTTTGCGCGAGCGGATGACGACCTCATCATCTTCTTCCACATCAGGATGGTTCCACAGATCTTTCTCAAGGGCCAATATCATCCGGCTAAAGGCTAAACTTAGGTCAGAGGTGTAGTAAAAGTCAGGGAGGTGTAGCACAAGATGACGGGCCACCCATGCATTCGCAGCGATATAGCCGCCAATTCCATTACCATAACGAAACTCGTTATACCCTGTCCCGATTTGCTAGTCAATTAATGGGCACCTTATTGCCACGGTGTGTTGGAATACATACTATCCCATCTCTCGTTCCAGCAGTCATACCAAAAGACTTCCAATTTCCTCCACCGCTCCAACTTCTCCTTCCCGAACCGGACTTCCTGCTCAGGTGTCGCATCTAAGCGGGGAAGGGCCATAACGGCGTCGGAAACTACCAGGATAGCGACTTGATATTGTACCATCTGGATGCCAACCTCATATAGCAGCCAGGCAATTCGCCAGCCCTTGTCAATGTCACCATCGCATGGCACGCGGTCCTCATTCAGCGACATGAGCTTGCGAGCTGTCTCCTCTGCGTCCAGGGCGTTTGGGGTATTGTAGGCCTGTACGAACTCGCGCAGCGCTGAGACCTCCTCCGGTGTTGATGTGTCTTCCTCGACATCCATGAGGCCGAATTCGGACCAGTCCTCCGGGTCACTCAGGGAATCCAGCTCCTTGGCCAGGGCATTTTGCAGGATGGAGAGTGCGGTAGACATAGGGTACAGTATGCAGCTACCGTGTCGTCGTAGAGTTTGGAAAGAAGAATTGAGAGAGGAACTTTGTCAGGTGGGAACGTGAAGAGGACCCTTGAGAGCTGGACATGTGTGTCTCCGACGTTGGAAGGCAAGCTGTGTGATGGATGTAGGAGGAGGATGGATGATTTCTGGTCATGAGCCGATGACTGCTTCGGCCCCGCTTGAGTGAAACCAAGGGCAGCGGCCAGCGGGGAGTTGGTTGCATAAGGGTCGTGCCGAGCAAGCCCTTTCAGGCACAGTATCACCTGCAACCTACGGCACACTTTGCTTACCACGTGATAGGGTAATGAATGATACGGCACAATCTCGGGGTGGTGTTGTTGGCTTTTTGGGCGACAGAGTCGACTTCAAATGTAGCACCTGTTTGGGGACTGTTGGTTGATCTTATGTTTTTGTTGTATCATCTCCCACACAATCTTTGTTCGGACGGCCGGGTGAAAGACCTCCGTTTTCGGTACAACAAAGTAAAAGAAAATAAAAACAAAAAAGGACAACGGACATATTGAATTTTCAGTGATAAATCGTTCACTGGTGGCACAAAACGTTTACCCTCACCCACTAACCGTTTGACTCCGAGTGACTGTGGTGTGTTCTTATGTTCGGCCTTTCCCAAACAGGAAGCCAACCATGGTGACTTATAAAGTTGATAAGGAGATAAGGATAAGATAAGCAACAATCAAAACACCAAAAAACATACAATACGGCACTTGGGATTCGCTGGTCGACATCAGTCATCAAGTATTGAAACAATGAATATCACGGAGTTGAGTATGCACTTTCCTACTGCTTAGGTAACTTGCATTTCTGCGATGCTATGTTGGTTGTTTAGGTACTAGTAAGTGTACGTCCGAAGCTCCTTGAAAAGATGTCTTTTCAGAGAATATCAGATGCGGCATGGCATTATAGCCTGCCTGGCGACGTGGAAATTCGCCCAGGGCTTCCTGAAGAGTCCGACCCACACTTTCAAGTGTAGTTAAATGAAGGAAGGACTAAAGAGGGACAGGAGAAAGGAAAAAAGAACTAGAGAAATGAGATACCGACTCGCCATTGATAGCATGACATCAAAACTTACTAGCTCCTCTACAAATCCCGCCGTACTACACGCTATACGACAAACATAAGCACATATAAATAATAGACACACGGTAATATACGGTGACACACCCGCAGAGTATAGTGTTTGACCCCGATTACCTCTACTGAATCGAAGACGCCTAGAAGTAGCCAGCACATATGTCGCTTTTGCTACGAATTTTGATGCGCTGCAGAGAATCTGAAGTAAGAGATGATGCTGTCTTGGACATTGCCCAAAACCGGTCTCTTTCAAATTGCGGCACTTGTGCCGCTGGTGCACGTTTATACCTAAAAATCTAACTTGCAATAGGGATCTATTGACTCTAATCGCCGCCGCTAGAATGAACTCTTACGCGCATCTCTAGGCAATATCTTCTGATCCGCCGTAAGTCAGTCGTATGTTTGACTTGTGATATATTCTGCCAATTCCAGTCCTAATGAAAAGGGTCTCTTCACAAGATCATTGCACAGCATCGAGTTTACCTAGACACTCAATAAATTACCTAGACAGGACCGGGTTGCGCTACTTTGGCTCATGTTGGTGAGCATCTTACATACCATTAGTCAGATGATCAGGCCCTAGTATAGATGAACATAATCTTGTGAATAGCTTCATCATGGACGGACGGTCTAGACCAGCCTCTGTCGCTTCTGATAGAATTCACATACAGCACCACACGACTACCTACATCATTCCCACGTGGAGCCCACTACTGGTCAGTCATCAATGCCTACGGAATTACCGTGACAAATTCAGCTGGGCACCGAGTTCTTGCGCCCGCGAAAAACATCGGCCGATGCCGAGACGTAAGCGTAACAGCATACCCAGATTCGCAGCTGTACGACATCAATGACAATTACCTAGCAGTTCAATCAGCTGTTTCGTCAGAGTCGAGGAATACGATTACACGATTTTATCTGTAGGTAGAAACGAGTGAGATTACCTACCTCTAGGGGAAACTAAACGCCGATGGTACGATCTGTCGATTTGGCGGTATAAAATCGTTTACCAGCCTCTATCTCTATGTACTTCATGAAGGGGTAAAGATATATAAAGCCCGGACGGCTCTGGATCTGCTATATGTCGACGAACCTTGGATTCAAACACCATTCCAGCCCTCATCAAAGCACACCACGAACATCTCACACCTACCTCTACATATAGAAATCCTCTCAAGCTTCGGCAATACCAGAACAAACACCCACCATGCGCTTCGCTCTTGCTGTTGCCCTCACCGCCACCCCTCTGGTCCTTGCCAGTTCTGGCGGCTCTGTCAAGCAGCGTTCGGAAGCCGCTGCTTCAGCCCGGACCTGCACTCCACCTTACAACTACTGTGGATGGTACCTGATCGCCCAAGGTTCGTATAATCTTCGTTGATTCGCAAAGGCAACGCAGTACCGGCTGTGGCGGCAAAGACAAGACAGCTAATACGCCGCTACCTTGTAGATCCTGCTGGCTGGGGCGGCGTGCTTGACCCCAATGCCTTGTACCAGTGCGTGAACGGTGGAGTCAACATTCTCAGCACCTGCGCCAACGGTTGTGAAGGCCCGACGGCTCATTGCAAGTAGTAGCGCTGCCCGAGTAGTATAAACTCCGGAGCATGGAACTGAGGTCGAGTTCCAGCATCCGATCGAGACTGCCGCACACACGGACCATATCCCCCACATTCGTTTCAAAAAGCCATTTCCCGGGAAACACGAACACACCCTCGTTTAATTTTTGAGTCATGTTGGTTTGGCTGCTTTTCGTCGTCTGGGTTCAAACAGTGGAAGATAGTGTACCCAGATGCAAATATAACGCCATTCTTTCGATCACTTGAAAACACACGTCGACGATGACATGGGTTCATATGCTTTACAATAGTTTCCGCCATCCCCAACTATGTCTATTATCCCAAAAGAGTGTATATCTGTAAGTAACATGGGTATCAATCAATATCCTTCGTTCGCCTTTCTCCCGCTTCATGCCACGTTATGTACCGTCATATAAATGAGTGTCGTGAATTCGTGAAGTCCCACATCCATCCGTGAGTTGTTTCCTTCCCTTCCTTTTTTTGTCCATTAGTCATTGGCCCTCCTACAGCTAGCTACGACGCTGCATACTTCCGCTGTGGCCGCGGCGGCATTCGCATATGTTTCCGCTCATCCGCACAATGGAATATAAGCATATACATGCCCCGATTCCGCTTGTTTACCTCCGAGGGAGTTTGTTGATGCGTAACACCGTGAGTTAAGAAGCGATGTATTTCTGTAACGAACCTCCCGGGACCACAAACTCATCCACGAACCACAACTCGTCTTTTTTGCAGCAGATTAAACACTAGAACGTGCCTCCCACTTTGACCAAACCTCCATACTGAAGCCGATCCACCCATGTCATCCAGGATGACCCAAATGGGCAAGTATTTAAAGGGTTGAACGGGGAAGTTAACCGGAAGAACTTCCCTGTTCGTCAATCAACAAATTACAAGAAGAGGATGGCTGCCAAGATAGTAGCTAACAAAGCCGCTACCGATGGCGACTGAGCGACACTTCCCGCTGCAGTAACGGGGTCGGAGATGCTTGACGGTGGGGCGGTCGAGGTGGTGAAGCCTGTGCTGGTAGCGCTGATCGTGCCGCTGCCGGATGCGGTGATCGATGGCTCGATGCTTGAAACCGAAGGCAGCGACGAAGCCGATGGGGAATACGATGAAACCAATGAGGAAGACGACAAAGCCGATGGGGAAGATGACAAAGCCAATGAGGAAGACGACGGAACCGACACAGGTCTGGTGGGAATAGCGGTGGTCGACGACACCCCAACTGCAGACGATTTAGTGGTAAACGATGATGACGATTCAACTGAACTGGATGATGTGGTTGAGAATGACGATACGGAGGAAATGTTTGATTCAGCTGATGAAGATGACGCGGTCGAGACTGTTGAGGAAGCCTCAGAGACCATCGTGCTCGACGCTGAAGACGAGAGGGTTAGGACTTCCGAAGACGAGGAGGTTAATCCTGTTGTCCTCGACGCTGAAGACGAGAGTGTGGGGATTTCCGAAGACGAGGAGGTTAGGACTTCCGAAGAAGACGAAACAACCGGCGCGGCGGAAGATGAGACAGCCACTGGCGCAGATGAAGAAACCGGCGGCTGAGAGGGAGCTTGAGTCGACGAAACGACCGCGGGCTCAGAGGAAATTGCCACCGCCGTGGAAGAGGAAGAGGGTGGCGGGACAGCAGAAGAAGCGGAAGTGATGACCGGCTTCGACGAGGGAAGAATAACCGGGGGTAGAGAAGAAGGCAAGGCCGGTTCAGAAGACGAGCTTGGCTCACTTGTCGATGGTTGAGCAGAAGAGCTTGAGGACGTAGGGGGAACGCCGGATGTAGTCGTGGTAGAAGGCCCCGGGGCTGGCGGAGAAGACGAAGTTGAGATGGGTACGGGCTCAGTGTTCGAGTTAGGTGCCTGCTGCGAAGTTGTGGAGATCGTGGGAGTGTTGGACTGGACCGGCTGTGGGGGTATGCTGGAAGGGGCAGGTGAAGGGGCCTGTTCCTTGCAGTAGTTGACAAACTGAGCATATATAGGCGTGAGGTACTCCTTGACGTTTCTCTTGGCATTACTTTCCGGTTTCGCATTAACACAAAACTGGCATGAGTCGTAGTATTCTTTGAAAGGCGAGCCAGCGGCGCACAGAGTCGGTGATTTACCGACTTGCTGGGCTTCAAGGTAAGCGTCCGCACATTCATTATAACAGACACCAGGATGTGGAGTGTCTGCCCGCTTCGAGAAACGGCCGCGCTTATATCCGTATCCCGCTGAAGGCAAAGTGGTTGAAGTCCAGTTTGTGGCCGATGTTGGGCGCGGCGGTGGCCAGGTTAGGTCGGTTTGGATACCCCAATTACCGGTGGTGATGGTCGACGTGACACCGCCAACCTCGATAATCACGAGATGCTCCTCAAAGATATCGTCGCTCAAACCGAACGCATTGGGATTGAGGTAGAAATACCCTTCAGTTGGCGGGTAATATCCAGTTTCGTTCTCTGGCCAGGTCACATTAGGAAACGGACGAGCTGGCTTACACCACTGCGGGTCGCACCGATAATCATCGGACGGCGCATCGGCCCACAGGTTGCAACTGTCTGGTTTAGGCTTATTGCAAACGAACCCAGGTTTGCAACCCCATGTGAGATCAGATTTTGGATCGTATGCCTGTTGAAGGGCGGGGGCGACGGTGTCCGTGGGGTAGCAAGTCGTGATCGTTTTCGAGACGGTCGTGGCAATAGTAATCGTTGAGGGTGGTTTGGTAATTGTCTGCGTGATAGTTTGAGGAGGTACCGAAAAAGTCGTCGTACTCGTTACCGTAGAAGCCGGCAGCGTGGTAGTGACTGTGGTACCATCACGGATTAACGTGGTGGTGGTCGGGGGTGCAACTGATGTGACGGTGGTCACCGCTGTTGTTCCTGGGAGCGTCAGAGTAGAGACCGTGTGTTCAGTCTGAGTGACAGTATGATCCAGAGTTTGTGTAACAATTGTTGGGGGAAGTGTAATGGTGGTGAGAGTGCCGGATACAGTTGTTGTGATGGGAGGCGGAATTACAGTCGCGGTAGTAGTGAAAACCTCGGTTGCCGTCGTGTGATCGGTGACAGTCTGAACAGACGTGAAAGAGCTGACAACAACAGAAGTGACTACGGCCGTCTTGGTTGTGTAAAAAGTAGTACTATCGGTAACGGTCACCGGATACGAAGTTACCGTGGTGAAGGTTGTGGTTTCCGTCGTAGCACTAACAACAGTGCTGAGGACAACATCGGTGGTGGTTACAACTTCCGTTGTCGTGATTGGAACCAACGTGGTGTAAATGTCCGTGATTGTGTTGTAATCGGTCGTCCATATCGTCTCGGTGCCAGTCACGGTAACCGGGTAGGAACTGATTTCCGTGGTCGTCGTGGTACAAATCACCTCAACATAGTCAGTCGTTGTCTTCTCAATGGTCTGGATCGAGTGTTAGTTAACAGCATGCCTTTGTATCTTACTTTCAAAGGAGCAAAAGCTTACATGGATGCTTGTGTAGGTCGTTTCAAGGGTGGACCAGAGTGTTGTGCTATCAATCACAGTGTATGGGACAGAGATTGCTGTAGTGTAAACGACCGTCTTAGTTTCTACCTCTGTCGTGGGGATGTAAACGGTTGTTGGGACTGTTGTTGGAACTGTTGTCGGGACTGTTGTCGGGACTGCGACTTGGACCGTTGTCTCGACAATCGATGTCTCGGTGGTTGTCTTCCATGTAGTCGTCGTGCTGACAACACAATACGAAGAGTGATCCTCCCCATTGCAAATGCTCACTGTTGTCGTGACTGGGTAGCTCTGCAAGGCAATTAGTCACAAGAAACTGATGGACTCACAATTATGTAAAAACTTACTGTTGTATAGATTGTGGTTGCGGTGATGGTCTCGCAGTCAGTCTCGGTCTCCGTGTATCCAGAGGTCACGATGGCCGTGTCAGTAAGAGTTTTGGTATCGAGGACGGTGGTTGGGAGCTGAAAAGACCAATCAGCATGCTAAACAGGCGAGGAAGAACCAGATAAAATGGCCGTACATATTCGGTTTCTTCGACGGTTGAGGTATGAATGACTGTCTCTACCACTGTTGCCGTTACGACACCAGTGGAGATGACTGTCTCCTTTGCCGTAACCGTTTCGGTGTACTGCAATCCAAGTTAGCGACGAACGTAGTTGCCAGGAGGATCTACCGGAGACCAAGCAGACTGGCGGTCTTGTGAAACATAAGATAGAATTTCTTTGCGGTTTCAGGGTAATCCGTAACTTCATACAGAAGCTGGCAGGGTACAATGAAATATGTATCTGGTGCTATTTGAAACTCGCTGCGGTGGTGATGACTTACCGATTCTGTACATGTAACTGTCACTGTAGAGGCGGGCTTAGTTTCACTGGTCTGCTGTTAGACTGATCATTCCTCCCATTTCAAGAAGGAAAATCAACATACTAAACCGTGGTTGTAATCCTATCAATTGTTAGTCATGGACTGAGCAGCATGTTGGTGGATTCTTCACTTACACAACTGGCTCGACGCACTTGCGGCAGTCATGCCAATACTTTGTGCAAAACCCCGTATCGGTATTATGACCACTGGGCGCAAGAGACGTGACAGGAGCAGCGCTCGAAACCCCCGTGGTATTGGTCATGGGATAAAAAGGCCTTTCGGTAGCGGAGACGAACTGAGTCAGGGCCAGCGCTCCGAGCGTGCCCAAAACCCTCGTGACAAGCATTCTGCCTGAAAGAGACCGTCAAGTCAAGCTGCATAGGTTTAGCAAGCCAGCGAGTGAGGTCGAGTCTCCGGAAGGAAAACGAGTGTGAAGCTGTCGCAACGAGTGAAGCCTGCGCCGGAAGACTTGACGTAGAAACATGAACGACGAAGATGGGGTGCGGCAGTGGCACTGGCCGATGATATAAGGCTGGTGGAAACCAAAAGACCCTGGCAGATGGGGGGACCGGGCAACCTTTTGGGTAAGCCCAGAGTAGGTGAACCAATGGCGTGAAAGGGTTATTCGGCAGGCATCACCTTCATCTGCAGAGCAATCCATCCTATCCCATCTCATGTCTTTGATGTGATGTGGTGCGGTTTGGCTCCAACGGTGCCAGCAAGAGGGAAAGCTAGGGCCGGCTTACTTGATTTCCTGGCTGTTCATTTTCAACCCGCTGAATCACGGTCCTCTGCTCTTCGCCCAGACACCTAAGGGCTGACAGACAAGCATTGAAAAAGAAGAAACACAATTGCGTGGTACTACCAAGCGTGTACGCTGCAAACCCCATGGTGGACGAGTGGACCGACGGGCAAAAGTGAGAGTGAAAGGTCTCGAGAGTTCCGAGTTTGGTGCTCCCCTGCTCCACTGTGTTTTCTTGTTTCCCCACGGCGTACTCGCGGAGATGCATGGCCACATCCCACAGGCACCACCACCGACTGAACATCAAAATGGGCCGGCCTTATCCAATGTAACCGTTCTCGGCATCAACCTAGGGACTAGGCTCTTGCCGGGCAGACATAAGCAGATATGAGATTTCACGAAAGCCTGGTTTGGCGATCACTGGTCTGGCTCAGTGTGAGGATCTCGTTGGAGCCCCAATTGAAAATTTGACAACACGGCAGAGGAGAAGTAAGTGAGAAGTCCAATAATTGCTGCCTTCACCATGATCGTGCTTGGTTACATCCAATGTGGGCTAGCTGACCTGACTTTGACCATTGGGTTTGTTTGTTAGCGCAAAGGTGAATTGGAGGCTGGTAAAAAGGGAGGCACAAGCCACGAGCTCGGGCGATGATGCCAGAGGACGGAAGAAGTGACAAGAAAGAAAACGAGAAAAGATCGGGACTTGTGTGACTGTGTAAGACGGCAGGCTGGGGCACTGAGGATGTCCGAGTCTGGGGGCAACGATTATCAAGCCAAGCAAACCCAACGTTGCGAGGGGCGCCAGGGACGGACGGATGGCCCGCCGAGGGGAGCAGTCGACCAGGGGGGGAACTGACGACAAAAAGGCAAGGCGAATTCCATAACGAGACAAGAAGTAGGTAGGAACACACAATTTGCGGCTACACAACCAGTTCTGGGAACGGCAGGTGTTTTTGGGTCGAGTTCACCCGCGACTTCATGGGGGTTTTACCGTGGGTGTGTACAGGTGTCTCCGGGCCGGTAGCACGGTACTCTATTCTGAATCAGGACGGGTGATGTCTAGGGGAACCATATCAGTGAGTACGAAGGTAAGGACGTGGGAGACTGTAACCACACCAAAAGCCAAAGACTGCAATGATGGCCGACCCCCTCTTTTGCTCTTTCTCGCTCTCTCTCGCCCTCTCTCTTCATTCATCTTTTTATTTTATTTTTTTTTCATGTTTTCCCCAGGGCCAGTATTGCTGACTGCTGTGAGGCCATCTGGCGATGTTGACTGGCTATTGGTTGAACAGGGTGGCCACCTTGAACACGTCCGCACTGCAGACAGGTCCCAACCATGGCGTCCGGCTTGAGCCACCCTGCATGACGGGGGGTGAGATGGTGGGCTGGTTCAAGCAGGTTGTCCAGGAAAAGGTGCTAGTAAGTGTCAATATAAGGTGAAAATAACGGACGGGATTATATCGTCCTTATTGTGCAACAACTCATGAAGCGCTAAAATGCCGGTTAGACACGTGCTGAAGAGCAAATCCGTTGCCGGAGTCTGTACAGTAATGCCAGGTACCGGCCGAGCCAGTGCGACAAGTGCCTGGACCGGCAACCAGAGCAGAAAGAAGTCGAAATACAAAGGGACATGGCGCGATCTCTGTTGGCACTGTAACCCTAGCAGCATGCGGGAGATTACCTGACTTGCGAAGATACCATCGAAATGATCACAACGGAACCGTGTAGTGTATGGTAGAAAGCGAACCAGAGATGGGTTGAACCAAGGGAGAGCAAAGGGGAGATGATGAGCCATGATTGATGACGGCATCTGGCGGAGGATGAACTCGGAACTGAAGAGAGGACAGTCAGGTTGGGGGAAAAAAAAATGAGAGAGAACTGAAGTGGTGAGAATGACGGGAAAACAGATGGAAAGAACAGCTGCCCCCTGCAACGTTTACTGCACGCAGGTGGGTGTACTAGTAGACGTACCTAGTCTTCTTACTAAACATGGCGTTATCTGATTGGTTCAATCTATGGGGATCTCCGCTTTCCCCGCCCCGGCCTAGCGTAGCCTTAATGTCAGGACCCCAGGCACCTGTACGCACAGGCCAGACTCTGGGAAGGAGGTACCCAGTAGATCGAGCACTGGGAAGATACAAGTAGTCCGACTCGGCTGTGGGCTACGCCAAACTTAGACTAGACTATTAAGAATCCATATACATTATATTATAGCTATTATTACCCTTATAGAATAGTGCGCTAGCGCGAATTAACGTATAAATGAAGTTATTATTGTTGAATTAGATTGATTAATATTGTCTTTCTTCTTCTAATTTCCGAAAGGTACTTTTATTAGCCTTCTTTAGTAACGAGGTACTAATCGAATTAGCCTAATATTCGTACTAAATAAGAAGCGGACTTCTACGTCCCCGATGTATTACCCCGCTATTAAATAAATTGAGGTAGTTAATTTCCCTAAATCTAATTTGAATTAAATAAATCAAGGCAGTCGATTTCCTTAAATCGGATTCGAATTAAGTAAATCGAGGCAGTCGATTTTCCCAAATTTGACTTCGATTAAGTAAATTAATACGGTCGATTTCCCCAAATCGGACCTAATATAGCTTAAATCTCCCTATACCAACTGATTAAGATAATCGATACTATTAATTTCCCTTTAATTAAATTTGGAATTAAATTTTAATAAATTAGAATTAACGCTATCGATTACCCTAGATCCCTATAATCTATCTATATAACTGATAAATATCTACGAGCACGTTAGATCCTGAGATTCTACCTCGACGGTTAACCCTAATTTACCCTATTTATAGAAGAGGACTTTAATTTTACTAAACGTTTTAAATTTACTTTCGAGTTTAAAGATTTTATCCCCGAGGATGAGGAGAGGTTCCTAAATAATTAACGTATTAAAAGAAATTCGTTTCTAAAATTCTTAAGGAATTGGCGATAATAAATAAAGTAAAGCGTACTTACTAAACTATATCCCGAACTATAGTGTACGTTAATATAATAAAATATAGAACCCCGGATATAAGTTAACCTACTAAACTTCTACTAATTATAGTTCTGTAAGAATTAAATCGGATTTAAAAGCTATAAATACTCCCTATTTCTACCTAATATTAACCTCCTAAATTAAATTCTACTTTAATTCCTTCTTACTAACCCTCCTTCAACCCTATTTAAATTTAGAGCCAATTCTACCGAAGTTCCAAACTTGTAAGAGCTTTTCTATTCCCTATCTATTAGCGAAAGAACCCTATAAAACCTCCTAAACTAATTCGAATAATACTAATAGAAAATTAAGGAGTAATTAAAGACTTAAAAAGTAAATTAAAAATATAAAGAATAATAAGAAGCTATTATTAAATACGCTATATATTTAAGTACGGAATTTCAATAGGAAAAGGCAGAACGTCGATATTGAACTCGATATAGAGAAGCTTAAAACCGTTAAGAACTTTAATACTGAGAGGTTAAATATCGAAAATTCTAGAATTAAAAAGTTTAAATTAATAAAAAAGGTAATATTAAAATAATTAGGAATTTAATTCTAATAGAGATCGTCGCTTTAGTATTAAAGATAGTAGTTGAAATAATTATTAAAATTCTAACCCCTTCTACTAATTTTAGTATTAAGGTAGCCGATATTAGTTACTTTAACCCCTCCTTAATATCTATTAACGGAGTCGTTTCCGATAGAAAGATTAATAAGTATATTAACGTCTATATTTTCATTAATAGACTTAAGTACTAAATCCGCAATTTAAAAGCCGATAGTAAGGCCTAAGTCCGTCGAATCTAGACCTAATACCTCCTAAGCCCTGCTTTAATTTAGTATAGTTATATATTATCCAAAATTAATAGATTAATATTAGAAATAGCTACTATTAAAGTTATCTATACTAAATTTAAAGAACGATTTAAATTTAACTATTTAACTGTACTTATTAAAATTAAAAAGGCTAAATTTATACTTTAGGACGTATTTAATAGTAAAGATATTCTTATATTTATCTAAACTACCATTCGGAGTGCTAAAACTTGTAATTTAGATTTTCTAAGTTAGTTTATCGCTATTTTTAAAGCCTTTAACCTGGATATCCAATTAAATTTAATTAAGTTGGATTTAGACTCGATTATCGATAAAATAATAATAGAAATTCGAATAAGAGAAAATATAATTTAAAGTTAAACCCGAATAAAGTTTGGAAACTGTAACCGAACCTTATATATACTATAGAACACTCGTTAAAACTAATTTTAAGGATAAAGATAAATCGGATATTAAAATAACTAACTAAACTCTTATAACTAAAACTGGGGATACTAGAATTAAAGGTTATACTGGAACCCGATTTAAATTCTATATTAAACTTATAATTAAAATCGTTAATTCGGCTACCCGTAAAATTAAATTTACTAAATATAAGGATATTAAAATTAGGGCTAATATTAAAATTAAACCCTAAAATTATATTAGAATTAGAATAATTAATATAGTAATTATAATTAAATTAATTTAGTCCCGGAAAATTACTATTTATTAATACTACCCACCGCCCTAAGAACTATAAAGTAATAATCTATCTATTATA